GAGGCAGGAATGTGTACTCACAATGAGCATGCTCAGTGCTGGTGGCATAGGCAGAAATGTGTACTCACAATGAGCATGCTCAGTGCTGGTGGCATAGGCAGGAATGTGTACCCATAATGAACATGCCCAGTGCTGGCATCATGGACAGAAATGCGTACTTATAAACTGTAATGCGCACCACTTTCCACACACTGCACAGGAAGAGGCAACTATTTTGCAGTATCAAATCACCTCCAAAGTATATATGTAACATTTCCATTCTGAGCTTTGTCCTACAGACACACAAAGACTGTTTTTATCAGCATCTGTACAGCTGCAGTACTTGCAATACTGGAGAGTTAGAGACATGCCCATGTATCAAAGAACTGCTCCGGCAGGAGTGCTCAGGTCCCAAGGAGAATGTGTGGAGTCCACAGGCTGAGAGGGAGGAGACAGGTGTGATCTGAGGTGAATCCAATGGCCACCAGCAGCATTTGAGAAATGATTACACCTTTTATACTGCACACTTGCAGATGGTATTAAAAGAGAGATAGAGGCATTTGAGCAGGGGTGTGGCTTGAGATCAGGAGTGGAGGAATCTGGCCTTGACCTTGACAATAGGCACCAGTCAGAGCAGGCCATAAATTCCTTTTATTATAGATAAGAAGAATGACTGCTTTATTAAACAGGAATTTTCTTCAAACCTCCCAGGAAATGAAGACCCTTATCCAAACACCTGACTTTGGGAAAAGGACTTCTGGGGAGCAGACACTATACTACAGCTTCTTAGTCTTTGTAGAACTTTAAGCTGAGCCCTCTGAGTCTCAGTGCCTTAGTGCTTCCCGCCCCAGGAATCTAACAACTATTCCTGCACAAACTAAAATGTTGGGAACTTTCCACCTCCGAGTCACTGTAAATGTTCTCCAAATAGAACTCAGTTATTGAATAGGGGCAAGATTACCCTTAGGTGCTGACTCAGTTCCTGGTGCTTTGACAGTCCCTGGGAAAGGGTCAAAGTAACCCTCAAATGTTCCCTTTTATCTCACCTGATCTGGCAACTGCTCTCCAGGCAATTATTAGTAATAGCCCTTTGAATAAGCCAATCATAATAGTTGAAGAACAACCCCCAGACTCCCCGCTTGTTTCTGTGGCTTTTTGCTTTAAAAGTAGCCTGTACCAGCCATTCAGGGTCTTTCTGGCTTCTCAAATGCTGAAAGACCCTGTCATGACAGAATTAATAAAATCCTCATGCTTTTACATCAGCTGTGGTGTGAGAGATGGTCTCTTGGGGCGACTCCTCCTGGTAGTTGGACTCTAGGGTCCAACATCTTACTATATAAACCTGTTTCCTCCATAATGTTCCCAAAAGGGAAGGTCCTGATGTCATACTCTTTTCCTAGTATACAGGATCATTCTGATTTCTCTTTATTTATTTACTGAACTCTTGCCTTTTATAGCCTCAGGATCTGGATCTTGATTGTAGGCATTTTATCCTTGGGATCAGGTGCATCTAGTAAGTTTCTAACTTTCTTAATTCTTGGTTAATTAGGAGGGTACAATGGAATTCCCAGTTCCCTCATGGTGGGGAAGTTTCCCCAGAGAGGCTACCATTCTACGCATGCTCATCCTTTACCAAATCCCATACAAAATTTCCCAAAGGGAAAGGCATTAACAGTATCAATAAACATTTAAAAGGCTGCAGAAGTGTGGTCTGCAATGTTGAAATGCAGAACTTTGGCAAGCAGCAACTGTCGCCATGCAGTCCACGCCACCCATGTCCATCATAATGGAGCTGCCCAAATAAATCCTCCAGGGATGCTATAAAAGGGTCTCTAGTTGTAAGGCAGTGATGAGACTGGAGGCAAACTTGGTGGCCTATGAAAGAAACCAGATCCCCAGACCTCTGGCCTTCATAATGGTAACATTCCTAACAGTGGCAAGCCAAGAACGCCCTTCAGGAGATACAGCTAGTCAATTCCTCCAAAACACAGGCTCTCAGCAAAAGACCAAGTCAGATAAGCCTTACACAAACTGGCAATGATAGTTGCCCAACTTGCTCAATTTCCAGTCAGCTATTTCCCTGCACTTAAACGAGAGCCAATTACCAAGAACAAGATATCTAAACAAAGCTACTAAGACATGAACGATGCCAAAACCAAACAAGGAAGAAAAACAACCAGAGAAGACAAATTATTTAGATTTTTTAAAAAAAACTTTTAAAATTAAGATAATCATAATTATAATATAATAAAAAATAATATTTAAGTTTTGATTCTTAAAATAATGGAAAAGAAAATATTAATAATTACAACCAGTAAAAATAAAGAGCTCAGTAGCAGAGTTGGGAAATAAAGCTGAAGGTATACCTAAGAAAACAGTGTTAGAAAAACAGTAAAGCCAGGCAGGGAGGCATAGGCCTATAAACCCCTGCACTCGGAATGCTGATACAGGAGAATTGCTCTAAGTTCCAAGACCAGACTCAGATCCATAGGGAGTTAAAGGCCAGCATGGAATACACAGAAAACCCCTACCAAAAAAACCTCATGGAATTGGAGGGAATGTTGAGAACTCAATAATGTTCTTTTTAATTTCTGATCTATGGGCAAGAAATCTCCATGTGGTGATTTGAATGAGAATAGCCCTTGTAATGGTTTAAGAAAAAAACAGCATAGTCAGTGGCAGGCCAAGAGGGGCAGCAGGTCCCGGGTGGGGAGCCACAGCAGGTGACCTGAGATGGATGGGCACACCATGCAGAGAGAGGGTTTGGGTATGGTTTATTCAGTGGGATATGGATGGAAAGGGAAAAGGGAGGGAAAGAGAAAGGGAGAAAGGGAGAAAGGGAGAGAGGGAGGGAGGGGGTGAGAGAGAGAGAGAGAGAGAAACAGAGAGAGAGAGAGAAACAGAGAGAGAGTGAAACAGAGAGAGAGAGAGAGAGAGAGAAACAGAAAGAGAGAGAGAGAAACAGAGAGAGAGAGAGAGAGAGAGAGAGAGAAACAAGTGGGAGGAAGAGGAGCAGCAGCCACCTCTTCCAAGAGAGAGACAGGACTACAGGACTGAGAGAGAGCATAAGCTGGTAGCTAAGATTACCTGTGCCTCAGCAGAAGGGGGGACTGGGTGGGGCTTGTCTCTTAAAGAGACAGGGTAAGTCAGTAGCAGGTCATAACAGTCCCATCTCTTTCTTATAATAAAAAGGCAGGAGGTTAGGCACAACAGGTTACAGGAACAGCAGATTCTCAAGACTGCCTCCTGATTATTTGTGGGTGTCATCTTGGGGCAGGAGGACCTGAGAAAGCTGGGTACTGGTCACATCCTAGGGTAGCTAGTCTCTTTGCTCCTGTCAGGGGCTTGTGGTATGGAAATATCTGGTGTCTCTTAGACCTGTTTAAGGTGGACCCTTCAATTTGGCTCCCTGGAACTCACAAGAATTTTGGGGGTTTGTAAAAAC